AAGAAAGGAGAAGGGGGAGATTGAGAAAGAGAGAAAAAACAGCCAAAAAAATCGCGAGAATTGAGCATTGAATTTCGGTGACAGTCAGCAAATTACAAACTGATGTACATTTGAGAATCATTAAATGTTGCAGTCATTGTTGTTGTTGCTGTTAACTTTTTCTTTCGTAAGCGCACCATGAAATCGGAGATGATGATGTGACAGTGTGATTTTGGAATCGGCCGTAATATGATCTGGCACACAATTCATTTTCGATTCTTTTCTCCTACATTGCGGTTGTTTTTTATTTTTACGTTTTTTTGGAGTCAAATTTGAGCTTCAATGCAAAATCTCATATATTGTTGCATTAAAACATTCAATGGAAAAACCTCGACATAAAAGATAATAGACCAAACAATAGATCTTGTGTGATGCAAAACAAATGATCTTGGCTCATTCTGAAAACAAAACGAAAAAGAAGAAGAAGAAGATCGATCGAATGCATTTTGTATCTGTGATCATTGACTTTGCTTATGTAGAAACCGTGCAGATGAAGTTCGCGCGCTCGATTTATATCAATACAATTCAGGTTGTTTTCAATTCAACGCGATCGCACCTATATGTCGTATTGTTGTTTTTGTTGTTGTTGTTTCGCGAGAATCGCTTAGTTGTTCTTTGAATGCGATTTACAGCGAAAAAAAAGGTTAAGGTAAAACGAACACATCGCAGCAACGAATTAACCAACTACATAAGAACAAATTATAGCGAGCAAAGAGAGAATGAATATAAAATAAAACGGTCAAAAGGGTTCTTTCTCTATGCATACATCCATACGTATTTACATTGAATTTGAAAATACAACGGCAGAACACGCTTTACGTTCCATTATATTCATCATCATTCACCAAAATCGACGACAACATTATAGCGAACTACACATTTGCACGAATGCATAGGCATCGCACCGAGCGTTTTCACCTATACACATATCGATAGTTTTGTGAGTAACGACAGCAGGCGCACACACACACACACACACACACACATCAATCGTGTGCATACGCTCGAGGGAGAGAGAAACAGATCGGGAAAGAGATATTGAGCATACGAGTTGTGCGATCGTCCATTCGATTAAAAGCGAACACAATATCATTGGCATTGGGTTAGAAGAAGATAGCAAAACAACGTTGGCCCATACATTCGATTAAACGTTGTGTGTTTTTCACTTCGTATTCTCTCTCCTCTCTCTCTCTCTTCCTCGTTATTGTTATGTACCTTTTTTTTCTCTGCCGAATGTAAATGTAATTCATTTGGTGGTGTATGTTTTCACTATACCGATATTTTCACGATCCAAATACGTGTATAAGCACGTTCGAACTGAAAACGTACATGTTATATTGGTTCGTATGTTGTTTATTTCATGATTATGACTGGTTCTCGTTTCGTTTCATTACTATTCATTCAATCCTTCTTTTTCTGCTTTTGTTGTATTCGTTTCATGCCATTTCATTTTCGATCTCTGTCGCTCGTACACGGGTTGACCATACACACCAATCGCGTTCGCCTATTACTTCGACGTACGACGATTGAAGCACACACGAAAATACAGTCATACACATTATGGTTACATATGTGTTTATGCACACGGCACCAACCATTCCGTATGTGAATAAAAATATACCACAGAATATCGTTCAATTCATCTTTCGAATGTTGGTAATAACGGACAATACGGACAATACGACAGATTTATTATACAATAAGTGTTGTGCTGTGTAACCTGTGTGTAATACATATTGGTTCTGTGACCATTTAATTATATTTATATTATTTTTTTTTTCGTTCGTTTCATTTATTACACTTTTCTTTCGTGTTCATTTTAGCCGTTTAATTTGTCGTTTTTAATTTGATTTTATATTAATTATTCGGTTCACGATTTTCGGTTCTTGAAACAAAAAAAAAAGATTATATATATATAATTTCACAAAAAAATACGACGATTTCAAGTTAACCAAAATTTTGCGCGTGTTTGCGTTTTCGTTCTGATTTCGCTGGCGAAAAACATCAATTTGATAATTTTGAAGCATTTTTTTGTGTGCTGCTGCTGCTCTGCTTCTGCCAGAGTGTTCAGTGTATTCATTATATCATTTTCGTGTTGAACTCGAAACACTTACAACTTATTTTCTTTACTTGGCATCGATTGCGCGGCAACTTACATTTATCGTGAGTGAATGTAATATTTGGTGCGTGTATGGAACTCTAATTGAAAGTCCATTGACAAATACACACAAAAAGAACAACAACAACAATCAGTTCACAACTTTTTGAAAGTTTCACCGACGACGAAAAAAATAACATAAAATATCATATATGAATCACAAAGAGCGAATGTCGCATCCTTCGGATCCGAAATTAACAGCGACCGCGCTGAATTTACGAAAAGGTAGCGAAACTCAAAAATCAACCGATGAGACAAAAAAAAATATCCGAAATTATAATAATAAGTTAATCAATTATAGTGTTAAGTCGAATGAAATGATCGTTTTTAGCAGTGAAACAGTGCGATTGATCGTTCAATTTAATGCCCATTTCATCGCTGGAAATTTCCCCTGAATAGAGAAAAAAACTAAGTGGTTTCCGATTTTTTTTTTTTGCACATTCTCTCGAGAGCTCCAATCATGTGTAGTGTGCGATGAAATCATTTGGTTAAATAATCAAAAAGTTCATATGTTTTGTAAAAAAGGGGCAAAACATTTTTTTTGACAATTCGTCGATTATTCTTTAGCCTCTGGGTGCCAGTAAAAAGTAAACATAAAGAAAGAAAAATCAATTCAACTCCGTATATCAATAAAACACCTGTATGAGTCAGCGACAGCATAAAAGAATATGAATTTCTTCACACACACACACACACCGAGGCGAGCGAACGCGTTGATTGCTTCGTATACATACGATTCTCGATCATTCCTACTCTTTCACTCCGCTGCGCCCTCTCTATATAGTTTTTTTTCCTCTGAATGCGTGTTTCATTCGTTCGGGTTTTTTTTTCTGTGTAAAACTTCATTTTGCTTGATTGGCCTCTTCTTTTTCCATTCGCGTGTATGTTGTCTTTTGTACGAGCGCTGCATACGAGCACTTCTCCTTCCTTTCTATCTTTCTTTCAAGTTTCTAGTTCTTATTACGCTCGTTTTATTTTCTTGTGTGATATGTGTCTTATGTTTACCAGTGCCAATGGCTAAAGTTTACGAGTGCAAGTGGGCTACAGCAAACACAGAATTATAACAACAACAACAAAATAAGCATATACACAATCAAAATAACAACAACAACAACAAAACAGCAGTAACAGCAGCAACAACCGTAAAAGAACCATAGAAAAGAGAAGTGTACTAATGGTTTCCACTCTTAAAACCGAAAAAATCAAATACAATTGCATTTATGCGCGCATTTACACCGTAATCTTGTAAAAATCGTTTATGCATGTTTGTGTATATATGATTTTCTTTTGTTGCTCTTTGCTGTGTTGTTCGTGCAGTTCTTCAGAGTTGCGAGCTGCCCATGTCATGTTTATTTTCTTCTGGGTTCCCTTTTTTTTCGTTGCTTCTTCTTCTTCTTGCTTGTTTATTGTTTTCTTTCTCTCAAGTTATATATGTTGCTATTATTGTTGTTGTTGTTATTATTATTGTTGGTTCTCTCTCTCTCTCTCTCTCTCCATCACTCTCTCACTCTTCTCTTCACTTTGCACTCTTTGTCTAAGCGGATGGAAAATTATTATTACGGCGTTTTGTGATTGCAGATTGATGCGGTCGAATTTGATCATTACATAATTGCTTCTTTGTTATTACAAATCTCATTGTTGTTGTGATTTCCAGAAAATGCAGCGCTTGTTAATCGAGAAAAAGAACAAAAACACAACAACAGAGAACATGCTCAGTTAGAGATAGAACCGAAAGCGCAACTATCTAGAATACTCAATCCACACTATTTTATATAAAAAAAAGAAGAAAAATAGCGAAAAAATAAGCGAAAAATAAGAGTCGAGAATTTCCTAGTTATTTATTGTTTGTTTTTTTACTGCTGTTTTTAGTATTTTTTTGTGGTAATTGCACACATTTATTTATTTTGTGTTGTGCTTTTTTTTCATTCATCGCCACTCTTTTTTTCTCTGTCTTCTCTGTCTTTCTGTCTATCTCTCTTCTATTTCAAATCACTTTTCATCCGATTGCTTTTCCTTTCTCTCCTAATATACTCTCCGGTTGGTGAGCGCGCATGGTGCAAACGCGAGAGCACATCGCGCTTCAATTTGGTGTGTGCATAAAATTTATTTCATTTCGTTTGTTGCATTCTATTGAAATTATTGGTTTGTTTAGAATTTCATTTTATTGTTGTTGTTATTGTTACTTTTATTTGGTGTGCAATTTCAACGATGCATTTTATGAATTTCAAGATGTTATTATAATTCATTATTGCGCTAACATTTCGATTGTTGTTACACACATACTCTCTCTCTCTCTCTCCGTTTGGTTTCAAGTGCTCCGAGTTGGCGAGTTTTGGATTTCAATGAATCTGCAATAATATTTCCATTCGTCTTCAAATTCAATTCTATTTCGATCTCTCTCGCTCTCTCTCTCTTCCCAATCCAATTCATCTGAATTCGAATTTTTCACATGAAATCCATGAAGTTGTTGTATTTTTCTTTCTTCTGCTTTTCACAAGTATCGACCGACAAAAAAAAGAAATAACGAAAACAATCAACAAACAATACAACGACAAAATATGGAACAAATGTTAAACATTCATCAAAATGCGCTGTAAATGTGCCCGGCTGTGGTTTCCTTAATGCCATTAAAAAAATTGTTGCAATTGCTCGAATGTATCATTTCATAATATAAATCAAACGATTCATTTCATTTTGGCACACTAACTATACGGATATTGCAACGATTCCATATGCATACGACCATTTCATATGCTTTTCAATAATTTGTTTGTTCGTTTTGTTTTTTCTTCGTATTTTACAGACAGTTTAATTGGAACCGCCAACATTACTTCGCCGTGGACACCAGTTGGCGGAGGAGCTGGTCCTTTGGGATCAGTTGATCTCCTGGGGGTGGATAAACATCTAGATGTGGGCGATATGAGCGACGACGACAAAGATTTGTCGTCGGCCGATGCTGAAGGTGTCTGGAGTCCAGACATTGAACAAAGTTTTCAAGAAGCTCTCGCCATTTATCCACCATGCGGCCGAAGAAAAATCATCCTTTCCGACGAAGGAAAAATGTATGGTAAGTGAAAATGAAAAATTCGATTCGCTTCAAATGAGTCGCAAATGATTGTATTTGCATGATTAATACCTGACATACTCTTTTATCGAGTAAAAAATACTTCAAATCACGATCACGCATGGCATGGCAGAAACGTAATCAATTTCGCTGAAATGTACATTTTAAATAAATGCCATTTATAATGCAAACAAATGCATTTGTTTGGATAAGACACTTTAACCAAATAAAACGAATTTAAAGACAAACAATTTATCATTTATTTTCACAGGCCGAAATGAGCTTATAGCACGATACATCAAACTGAGAACGGGCAAAACAAGAACCAGAAAACAAGTGAGCTCACATATACAAGTGTTGGCCAGACGAAAATTGCGAGAGATTCAAGCCAAACTCAAAGTGGTAGGTTTTATACACGTTATCGCATTACATAAACCATTTTTTTTCTCGTTATTGTCAATTTTTGCTGACGAAAAACATTCCATTTGTTTACAGCAATTCTGGCAACCGGGTCTCCAACCAAGCACTTCACAAGAGTAAGTTCGATTGATTCTTATGATGAAATGATTTTTTTATCTAATATTATGATCTTCGATTATTTTCGATAGCATTAAGCCATTCTCACAACAGCCATATGGAGGTAAACCGGCCACAGCAATATCAGGCGAAATCGATGCTGGACATCCATCAGCTCAGGCGTCATGGGAAGGACGAGCTATCGCCACAAGCAAATTTCGTCTATTAGAATTCTCCGCATTCATGGAAGTTCAACGAGAAGATGTGGTAAGCACCACCTTTAAATTCGATTGAAAGTACCGTTTTCTAATTGGAATTTGTTTTACAGTATCGTCATCTCTTTGTTCACATCAATGGCAAAACATCATACTCAGATCCATTGCTCGAGGTAAAAATCAACTATTTTTAATGTCACAATGATTTGAATGCTAATTTTCATTTTTTTTTTTTAATTTTTGCTTTGGATTAAATAGTCGGTGAACATAAAGGAAATCAGCGATAAGTTCCCAGAAAAATCGGGTGGTTTGAAGGAATTGTACGAAAGAGGACCACAGAATGCATTTTATTTGGTAAAATGCTGGGCAGACTTGAACACAAATATTACAGATGAAGCGGGAGCATTCTATGCTGTCACCAGCCAGTACGTATTTGTTTTGCTTCGCACTTTCGGTATCTCTTGAAATGTGCCGATGATCGAAAATTAATCACCGTCTTTGTTTCTCCTCAAACAGATACGAAAGCAATGAGAACATTGTGATAACATGTTCAACAAAAGTGTGCTCGTTTGGTAAACAGGTGGTGGAAAAGGTGGAAACGGAGTATTCGCGCTTGGAAAGTTCAAGGTTTATTTATCGCATTCAAAGATCACCAATGTGCGAGTACATGATCAATTTCATTCAAAAGCTCAAGGGTTTGCCCGAACGATACATGATGAACAGTGTTCTTGAAAACTTCACAATATTACAGGTGAGCACACTCCCACGCTCAGTAGACGCTTGTCGTTTAATTAATTACAAATCAATAACTAAAACTAAACAAAAAACAATTTTGTATTTTTGAATGTAGGTCGTATCGAATCGAGAAACCAATGAGACGCTACTGTGCATTGCGTATGTGTTTGAGGTGGCGAATTCGAATTGTGGCGCCCAACATCACATATATCGGTTGGTGAAAGATCAGCCGCAGCACTGAAGTGGATCGAAGCACATAATCCCAGCCACACCATTGTGATGCAATAAGTAATTTGAAATTCATCGTAACAAAAAAAAAAAAACAAAACAACAAACAAGCACACTCTAGATTTGTCTGTCTTTGAAACAATAATATACCCACACGACGTCATGATCTTCAGCTGCATGCTCTTCTCTTCCCACGGAACAATTATTTGCAACTTAACGGAGGATCAATCGAACATAAAAATATAAATGTTCAATTATCTTTTGCGGATTTCATTGGATTTTGTAAAAATAGAAAATGTTCTTTCAAAGCGGCACTTCAACACAAAAATGAAACGGCGTCTAACGCAATGTTGTAGTAAGCTTCAAAAATTTCATTTTAATAACATTTAAGTATTATAAACGGAACAGATGCTGCACAAGTGACAATTTCGGTTTTTAATAGCTTCAAAGATGATATTAATTTGACTTTCATATGCGATCTACTCAGTGATTTTGAATGGAATTGTATAAATAAGTTTGAGTACTAGATAACGTGGCCATTCGTTTTTTTTATCGAGATGAAACATTTTTTTTTTAATCGCTTTCAATCAAAGTCACATGTTCGAATTCAAAATCATGAAAGAAATAACCAAGTGTAATGATGCGTTAGTGTGTGTGTGTGTATTTTTTTAAAAAAATTAATTGTCATTTATTTTTCATCATATAATTTATATATATACGGAATGTGTGTATTTCTCTCGGAAATGATTTCTGCGCGCGTGGCCGCATATTCTAAATCGAACGTTCAATGACTTAATATATCGTATCGTGTCAAAAACTCAGTGAAAAGCACCATCGTACACTTTTTTTTTCTATCTTTCTCTCTTTTTTTAACATAAATAGCACTCACACATTTTCAAGAGTCAATTCATTCGTGCTCGAAACTTTCGAAATTTTATAGTGAAGAGAAAAAAATGTTTGCGATTATTTTTAGTTTGTTTATATCATCGGCAACGATGATGATTGAGATGTTCACCAATGTGTGGTGGCATTAAAATGGAAACTGCAATAAAAATGCTATTTATGATTTAATTTTATTTGCTACAATTTGACGCAATCGATAAGTGTCGCCACATCGCATAAAACAACGATTGGTTTTTAGAATTCTAGGAAGCACCGAAAATTTAATGAAATGAAGCACAAACAGAAAAACGAGGAAATAAGGCCATAAATAAATAGATAACTATTGTAACTCTCTAAACATTTAAAAGAAAACACAGACAAGAACTAGAATCAATAAGACAGGAGCCAGAGCCGAAACAAATAGTAATATTGTTGAGAAAGCGCCATTTTGGAAGCTAGCAACATTTCGCTCAAAGTGTGATTAAATATGTACAATAACATAGAATAAACATTTTCTCATAAATTGTACATAAATTGTATCAATTCTGATCGCCAGCTCCACACCGTTGATAATTTTTTTGTGGATGATCTTTGAAAGAAAAAACTGTCAAAATTCCAGAAGGTCATTTCTTTAAGCCAATATTTTTTCATTTTTTTTTTAAATAGCAGATTACTCAGAATGTGTGTAAACGACAAACGATTTGCCATACATAAAACACATAACAAACGCTAAACATCGTGTCAAATGAAATTACAAGTCAAACCAATATTTTTTTTAGAATTATTAACAAAATTAACGCTTCTTTTCGTTGGTCTCCACGATTGATATCGTAGCCTAGGATAATGTTCCTATCCTCGAACGATTTTTCTTTTTTTTAATTTATATAATTTTTTTTCTAATGGCAATATAATAAAAAGTCTTTTAAATCTGCCAAAAAAAATCGCTAATTTCTTTTACATTTCAAAGCTATTTTTTTATTTACTTGAGAAACTTAACAAAAAAGAACCGAATTGCAATGCAATGTTGCGTATAATAAAGAAAGAAGAAAAAAATCGTTAAGTGTATATTGTGTCACTTAAAAAGTTGCAGAACATATTGATCTCTTTTCAATTCGCGCAAAAATAAAAAACAAACAAAACAAACAAGTTTTTAAAAAAATCAAATCTATCTTTAATATTTACATATAGCTCATAAAAATAGGTACAATATATAGCGCATACTAATATCGTTTAAAAAAACATATATTTACCACATAAACAAATCCGACTTAAAAGAAAAATTAAACAGAATTTTATTTGTTCATTCTACTCGAGTAATGCAGCAGCAAAAGAAAAGAATATAAGACAATTTGGCAAGAGAAAAAGAAAACAATAATAATAATAATATTAATAAAAAAGAGAAAAAAGATGATTTTATCCAAAAAATTAACAAAATGAAAATGGAGCTCGTCATTTGAATAAGAAGAAATATGAAAAAGAAATCAAAGTAAGAAAAGTAAAAAAAAAAATCAGATTTTTTTTGTAACAGAATTTTTTAAGTCATTTTTATAAAGATGTATTTAGGTATTGAAGAACTACAATTGAATATATTTATTTGAATGAATATGCGTATATTCTGATTGGATTTAAGTAAAGAAACTTAATAACAGAAAAAATGCAAAAAAAATTCAATATTGAAAAAGATTAAGGAAAATACAATAAAAAGAAAATACAACTGAAATGAAAAAAACGCCCATATTTTTAGCTTATAAGAAAATATGTAAAAATATTTTAAATCTTTTACTTACTCTATATTATTAATTCGAATATTTTTCGTTTGGCACAACGGAAAGTATCGAATCGTTGTGCAACTGAGGCAACTTTTTCAACATATATATTTTTTTTTTTCATTTAGCCAAGTGACACTCTCGGTCATCATTTTTGTTTTTATTTTAACCAAGAAATGAATATGTTCAAATGAGAAAAAAAAAACTAGAATTTGTCATCAATTTTTATTTCAGAAATAAATTTGCATGAATTTAATAAAAAAACACACACCGGGTTTTTTTTCTTGTGGTTTAGTTCAATTTTATTTTCAATACAGGTAACCAAGCGATTAATGGTTTAGCTCAAATAATACAAAAAAGATTAACTTAAAATCTAGGTACAGCATTCTGGATACAACACAATTGCAATGCCAGCTCAATATTTATAGTCAATTTTGTAAGTCTCGTAAAATAACATTACATTTTTATAATTTTTTTTTTTTTCATTTCAAAAGTAGTTTGTAGTTTTCGTCAAGTGCACAGGACAAAACTTCAGAATAATATAGATATCAAATCGAACAAAAAACGTCTGCTGTTTACATAACCGTTTAGGTTATCAAAAAATCTCATAGAGATAAAATAAAAATCGATTGCTTTATGCATCGATTTGCAAGCTATTCATGTGTATTTTTAAAAACTTGCTTAAGGATTGTTTGATGTAGTTTCGAACCATTGTGCGACCGGTTTGATTCCATAGCACGTGTGGGCGATTACTCCCACTCACATAATATGAATCGCTGAAAAAGGAATGGAAGAAAATTAAATTCACATAACGCCCGCCCCATGCAAGGTTCGCATGAAGAAAAACAAATTAAATATTTTAATATGCCATCCTTACGATTGAAAGTAAGCAAAATTGGTCACGCCGCGGGCATTTGTCATTTTCGACCAAATATCGATTATTTCGTATTGCATAAAATACTTTTCCATTACAAACACATTGAATTTACGCAATTTGTCGACCATCTCATGTGTATGGGCGGTGTTTGCCAACGGTGCCAGTGTGGTTATGATTGGGTTAAGTCCTCGTTTTTCGCACACTGCTATTAAATTCTCAAAATCCGAGCACATTTGAACCAAATCATGACCGTGTAGAATATCAATCGAACCGACGTTTATTATCAATCGCGTTGCTTTTAAGTGTTTCGTGCATTCGATGAGCTTAGCTGCAGCCTGAATGCTTAGTCCAGAAACGCATAAGCCAACATGCTGAACTCCGCTTTCTGTTCGAAATTTAATGAAATGTGAATAAACAGGTGATTGTGCAAATGTGGTAAACATTCGGTTGTCATGTGATATCGAAATTAGATTACACACATACATCAGATATTCATCAATTACAATGAATGGAATTATCAGTTAAATTCAAGAGGAAAAAAATAAATAGAAAAAAAAACACATACTACGATTGTTAATGTAATCGGTTGTACAACACGATAGCAAACGGAAAAAATCGTCTCCAACAAACTGTGCGTGTAGTGTGGGTTGCGGAGGATTTGAAATTGTTTGTACCGGTACATGATTGTACTTTTCAATGTGATTGTTGTTGTAATCTTCCTGCGGTTGGTTTTGGTACGGTTTGTATTTGCTATTTGAATGAAATGAAATGTGTCATTAATTAAAAAATATTGTACTGTGCATACAAACAGTTGAAAAAACAACAGCCAGCATGTGCACAATGACTGTGTGGAATGTATGCAAAATTGTTTTTTTTTTGTCTCAAAATTTTCCACTTAAAATGGTTTTCGGCGGTTGAATTCAGTTCATTTTTATTACAACAACAACGAAAAATATATATTCCAACAACATTTTGCGCACATTGCCTTGTACTCAATTTACCGCATGTGTCTGTAAACGATATTATCTTTGAAAAAGCAGTCGTTCGGTTTGACGATAGAACAACTCAACGCTTTTTGTGGTCGACTCGGTTTTGGTTGTAATGGTTTTTGGTTTGGTTTTTGCTCAAATATGAATTTTTTGATGTGTTCCATGTTTTCACTTTCCACATACCATTTTGGTTCACCATCTGAACTATCGATACAGTAAACGCTGTCGATGCTATTTAAATACTTGTATACGTTCGGCAATGGTTTCCCAACTATTTCGATGTAATCACCTATTCAACCAAAATAGAAATTTGTTTGGAAATGTTTTAAAACCCACATACCACCACCGGCGGTTGTATGCAATGACTTACTTTCAATGTCGGCAATCGTTGCGCCTTCTCGACATCGTACATTTAGAATGCTTTTTATGATATTAATTGCTTCGGTGGTCATTTTGCATAAAATTTGACAATTACAATGGAATATACGTATAAAATGTGAATGAAATAAATTTTCAAAAATATTCAATTCGATTCGAAACTAACAACAGCAAAAATGTCGATTTGTAAAAAATGCGTGCATTTGCACCAAAATGCTGTCGCTTTGTGAGTGAAACAAAAAAACATGGACGGTGTTACTTTTTGTTGCATTACATTCAACTTGTTGCGATAATGATGTATCTAAACTGATTGGCCATTGGTGAGTGTATATTTAGTAACGGTAAACATATTCACACCTCCGATATCAGTTGGTACTACATAATGTTTGATCTGTTGTCATAGATTTGTCGCCGCTTTGTTTGTTGTCATAGAATCGCACAATTTTTGTTTACTGAAAATCATGTTAAATGAAATAAACTGAAGCCAAATGAAAGAAAACTACTATTTTTCTTTGCTTTTAATACTATTTTCTTTTCTATTTCTATTTCATTTTTCTTTTCAATTCACACAATATTTTGTTCAATTTTGCATATTCAAAGTATCTGAATATTTTTTGTTCATCTGCGGATGACAAAGTTCTGATAAACCGGCGATTCGACTGTTTTGAGCGACGAGAAAACGGCTTTGGTGATATTCGATGATGGGCTGCCGGTCTTTTCCAACCATTGTTTCATCACATTGATTTTGTCTTCGGGTCCTTCGATTTCACCTTTTACAGTATCATCTCTTGTATTCATGCACCAACCGGTTAAATGGAGCGAATCGGCTTGTTGTTTTGTATATTTTCGAAAAAGTACACCTTGCACACGGCCAAACACTTCAAATTCGCACAAATAACGTGACATTTTTCACTACTTGAAATCACAATGTATTTTTAGTTATTTTCAGTGCAATTGTTTGTCTTTATATGCAAATTCAACACGACAGACAATTTGAAATCGATGTCAATATTAACAAAATGTAGCAGATTAACGTACTAGATTTCAACTGTCAGAACGAAAGAAACATTCATAGTACACACAATACGATCCATTGTGTCAATGTCTGTCACTACACTTTCAACACGTGCATTTGAAAGTAGATACATTATTCACACGGAAAAAAAACTTCATATTTTCTATAAATTTTTCGGTTTACAGTTAGTTTATAAAGAAATTTCACAAAAATGCAGAACGACGATGTAAGTATAAATGAAAATGTTGTAATTTCTATCGAAAAAATCTGATTAATTTCGATTTGTTTACCGACAGGTTGTTTGGAGCATTATCAATAAATCGTTTTGTTCGCACAAAGTCAAGTAAGTCCAGTCGCGATTTCAAGGGGAAATAACAATGTTTTACACATAATTTTCATTATTTCTCTCTTTAGAACGGATACCCGGAATTTCTGTCGGCACGAGTATAATTTGACGGGTTTGTGTACGCGTGTATCATGCCCATTGGCAAACAGTCAATATGCTACGGTTCGTGAAGAGAAAGGTATTATATATTTGTATATGAAAACTGCCGAACGATCCCATTTTCCATCGAAACTCTGGGAAAAAGTGAAACTATCGCGTAATTTTGAAAAGGCAATTTATCAAATTAACGAAAATCTAGTGTTTTGGGACAATTATGTTCGGCAAAAATGTAAACAACGTTTCATTAAAATTACACAATACTTGATTCGGATGCGTAAATTGAAATTACGGCGTCAGAAACTATTGGTGCCGGTTCAAACGAAGATTGAGCGTCGCGAGAGACGGCGTGAAGAAAAAGCATTGGTTGCCGCCAAATTGGATTCAGCCATTGAGAAACAATTGTTGGAACGTTTGAAGAAAGGCACCTATCAAGATATCTACAATTTCCCACAGAAAGTGTTCAACAAAGCACTGGAAGAGGAGCAAGTCGAAGAGGAGGATGAAAGTGAGGTCGAAGATGAAGAAGAAGAATTGGAAATGGAAACTGAAACGGAACATGTGTCGGGATCACGGCAAAAATCACAACTCGAACTCACCGAAGAGTTTGTGGAGGCTCCATCCGATGAAGACGACGATAGTGATAGCGATTTTGATATGTCAGACGCGGAAAGCGAGTCTGGAGACGCACAACAAGTCGAGGTACCCAGCGACTTTGAATCAGACGATGATGATATCGAGGTAAGACTCACTTTTGAAGATGTTCACCACATTTTTTACTATTTTTCGTTCTTTTTCGCTAATAGGATATTAGCAAACGTGTGCCGAAGAAACCAACAGTCAAGAAACCGAAACAGCTGAAGAAGAAGAGACACGTCGAAATCGAATACGAAATGGAATCGGAAAATCCACGACAAAAGGTCAAACATTAATGCTGTACACATAAGGACATTTTTAGAGAATATACAGAATTGTATATCCATTTTTTTTTCAAACAAATAATAAATTTTAAACAGTTTATTCTGCTTATTTTATAAGAAATGTTCGTGTTTTATTTCTATTGATACCAGAATACATATCAATGATTGATATCCAACCTTTCACGTCTATTCGTGATGCATATATTAGGAGTTTCCAGTTACAAAATGATTCACTTCCAAAAGAGGTGATTTTGCCTCATTCCATTCCGTTCGAAACCCCAACACATTGCTATGCCAAAATGAAGGTTCAAACCAATCGATTCTTTGTCACGAAATACTTCTTTTATTAAATCATTTCTCTTTCATTTATAATAAATCGTTAAGTTTTGTATTTATTTATTTAATTTTATATTTTTCAGTCGCAAAAAAACTTTAGTTTTGTTGTGAATTTTGCACACTCAAAATCACCCGCTAAATCTTAGATAAACTCGAAAAGGAAAAGTCTATGGCTACATTTGGCTTACGCTATGGGAATACAAGAGCTAATAAACCGTATGAGAGTTAAATGATACTGTAATGAAATGTATATTTTTTCGTACTTTTCCTTTCGATATTACACAAAGTATATAATATCATTAATCTTATAATTAATGTTTCTGACGCGTCAATGTTCTAAATAACATTTCGGTCTGGTTTTCTTTTTATTCTCTTTAGATGATATTGTATGAATTGTTGTTATTTTTCTTATTGTTCATCGGTGAAATCATAAACAAAATGTGATAAAAAAAAGATCTGATACATCTGTATATGCCAAATGAAATTGACATTGGGTAATAAAATAAAATGATTGCTAATGATTCACGCAGCTTCAAAAAAGATGTTTTCTTTCAAACAATAAGAGCGAAAAAAAAACATGTGTTTTTGGAAGGTTTTTGAACTTTTAATGGGCAGCCGATCCGGATGGTTCGTCTGTGGTGCCTGCCGCTTGCCGGAGCAATACATAAATTTTTTCTTTTATCCATTCTTTGTTGTACGGTGCGTAGGTATTGGTTGACTTTTGATAAACCAAGCAACTTAAATCAGCTAACTGTAAGTACCCCCAAAAAATATGCATTAAATAAACAAAAACCCGAAACTTTATAGATTTATTTGGTTCATATGCGTACCTGATCCAAAAAATCGAACAGCTGACTGATGTCATAGGTGATTGTTGGTGTGTTTGGGTTTCGTCGCTTCAAATGTTCTTCGTAAATTTTGCAAACACCTTCCAGTGCTTCATTGACACTTTCATAATCTGAATAGGTGCGTGTTTCAGGCCGAGCGCCAGGCTGTACCAATAAAATTGTGTGCGACATTTCTAGATGTTTCGTATGTGTGTGGCAAAAAAAAAATGAATGCAACTCGATTCAATTCCGAATGAATATGCGATTGTACGTGATAAGTATCAAGCCGGTCAATTGTTATCGCTTTTTATAACGCCGTTTATTTGTTTATGACAATGTTAATTTTGATAAATTGCCGGAATTTGTAGAAAAAAACCTTTATTGGTATGCCGTGAAATGTGAACGAAAGCACTTTTGTTGTTTGAAAATCACTGTGTGTACTAGCAAAGTGTTTGACATTTCAACATCAATTGCACCATAATCGGTTTACAGATACCAGATGTCGCTGTCGGTCACACAATTCAGCGCACGTATATCGCTATTTTATGTCACTGAGGGAGGGTACTCCCCACTTTTATTCAGCGCACATTTCGATTCTTAAACATTTCGTTGGTTGTTTTGGCAATTTCCTTCCAATCAATCGATGTGATTATGCATTATTTGTTGGAAATTCAGTGAATCGGTGAATATTTTATAAAATGTATGGATTATGAACATAGAACAAAGTTTTCGGGCCAACTTCAAAAATTTATGTATTTAACATTTCAGAACTGTTCCAGTTTTAGTCGCCTAAGGTCATCATCACCATCACCAGTGCGACACAACATACCGGCCGTCATTATTGATGGAAATAAAGTTCGTTTGTTTTTTTATCGGTTGATTAGCAATTTGATTACTTTGCAATTAACAAGTTTTGAATGGTCCGACGGAATGGCTGAACTGTTTATAAAATGGGCAACAAAGTTTTTTTTCCTCTACTCTTTTGTTTGTTTGTTCGTTTCCATTGAAAGTCAATATTTCCGCTTGAATGGGCTGCTGCTGGTTGCCTATCGTATGCCACTCAAAGTGTGTGTTGCTGCTGCCTGCTGCTATTGCTGTTGTTGTTGTTTATAATTTTTTCGATGATTCGATTGGCAATACGGGAAGAGAGAATGAGAACACAATCCACGGCAAATATTTGTATGAAATTTGTACATGGATTTTTCCGTTAATGTTTATTTACTTCGTGTGCCAGACAATTCGAATCAAATCACAGGTCTATCGTGTCAGGTTGCTCCAATTTTGATATTAATTATGATTCGTGTCCACATCGAACATAATCATGGATTAGATTGAACATGAACATGTAATGAATCAAGATTATACGAAACACTGTCTCGTTATTAATAAAAAATGAGCATTAAATCCAGAAAATGTCCGACCAATCACTTCACCAACTAAAGCAACAACAATGACAGACGCGTGATTGTTGAAGCTATGCTGTTGACAGGGAATGTATTAAAATATCAAGAATTATGAAAGTCACCGACACTACATAACATCACACTATGCGACTATGACGTTCTTCACGAAAATAGTGTGAATAAAATTTACGAAGCACTTTTTTTGGAGAATTCCATTTAAACCATTCGGACGGGCAGAGCATTTAATCAAAGTTCTGTCGTTCGAAAAGCCAATTCACGTAATATATTAATGAAATGTCTAGGCGCACGCCAAGAGAATGAATGACTTTTTGCCAGTTCGTTTTTTTTTGTTGTTGTTCATTTTCAAAGGGAAGAATTTTCTTTTGCTGTTGCAAGGCTTTTACTGTTGCTCTTTTCATGAGATGAAATCTTTCAAATTTTGATTAGTCTTAAAAGCATTCGCTGATGAAATTCGATGACAAAGATAACATGTTATCTGTTGTTGAACTTGAAAGCATAGGATCAAACAAGATGCATTAAAAAATGAACCCATACGACGTACGTCTATCTAACAGAGATGAAATAAGCAAATGAATATACATGCTGCACTAAAAATCTACCATTAAAATTCGAAAGGTAAACTCGAAGCATATGACGCAAAAAGTGTCACATCGCTAGCAAAGGGAATAAAAGGAAATATGCTGTTAATAAGTAATTATTTTGAATAATTTACGTATATTTATTCGCATCGGAAATACTTGTCGGATGCACTTATTCCATCGTTCACGAATATTTCGTGTGTTGTATCCTATATTCCGATAAAGCCATTCTCTCTCTCTGCATTTTAATAAAAACATAATGTCAGGGGTGAATATATGTTTTACCTCTTTTATAAGCGAGTCATTTGGACGAGAATCACGTACGGAATTCGCATTCAATTCGAATCAACATAAACCTCTTTGAACCTTCCTCTCTCTCACTCCCACCCGCACTCTTTCTCTCTCTCGTTTTGCTTGAAAACGAAATCAATAAAAAATGCCAAAGAAAAATATCGTTAAGTCCATTTTTCCGCACACCCAACACTTCGCCCGCATCCTCCTCCCCCCATCTCCCTCTCACGCACTGTTTTTCTTCTCTTTTCATTTGAGCATTTTTGGATGAGTGCTTTTTTTATTGGTTAAACGAAGGAATTCTCCATGGAAAATCCAAAGGAAACGCTTCATTATGCGCTGAATTACAGATATATATGGCCTTTTGCCGAGCTTCAAACATGTCGATATGATTTTACATAATAACATTTGATGAAAAGGAACATCGTGCAATTTCGTTTTTACGCCTGGAATACTGAACCACTTTTGCTCGATTTCATTTTTTTCTCTCTCAGTTTGGTGCGTGCGTAAAATTTCTTTTAAAGGCCATCCATCTATCATTTTTTTTCTTTTTGCACACTTTTCTTCTAAATGATGGGGAAAAACGATGAAACATAAACAATATCGCAGATTTACTTTTGACCTTTGGCAACAACTAATTTAAACACAAAATAAAAAAAAATACATATTTTCAAGTCAAAAGCATTTCTTTGATTGCTTCTTTTTTCCGAACAATGGCCAACATTTGTCATTGTTTTTTGTGTGTTGCAACAATGAACAGATGGAAAGTTCAAGTCATACAATCTTGCAAATGTAAGCAAGTAATGTCCCGTTGGTAGAATGAAAAAAAAAAACAATATTCAGACTTCTATCCACCTCTGCATCTCTGGTTTGAATGGATGCGAATGCTTTTAAATGCCTGTGTGCATTATGCAACAATGTATAAGTTCATGACGTATATTCCTTTGACTTGGCCAGCGGCGGCATGTAACTACTAACGAAAAGCAACAATATCATCAGGAGTGCGACCACAACCATGTAGAAAAGATAGAGATAGAGAAATGGCGGTGTCTGTTCACCAAAGATAGAATGATGACGTTAATATCGAGCGTGTTTAGGAATATTGTTTAAATAGATTATATATTTTGTGATTTGCTGACGTTACCTGCGGTGAACATTATTAAAATGCTTCCACCGAGCTTCGAATGAAAGAAACTAGAAAATTGTTTGCTGAAGATAATAGCCAGTACGAAGAGCAACGCTTGCATATAAATTGAGCTTTTGATCAATCAATGACTCTGTTTGCTATTCAATATATTCTACTTATCTATCCATTGTGTATAGTTAACGTGTGCGTTTAACTATGTCTGTCTATTTGGATATGAGTTTCAATTTTCGAGTGCATATTGCTCACAAGTTTTGTTTGATGCTTTACATTGTTGTTGTCTCTCTCTTTCTGCGCTCATCCAATTTCGTTATTCTGCATCTGCGTTACATTGTTTACGAATGGTGTACTTTAGATCTCTCTGTATTTTTGCATTCTAGCAGTGAGAGTGTAATAATCGAAAGGAAAGAAGAATCGAGCGAACGAAACAAAATAAAGAAAATTATGTGTATAAATGTTGGCTGCTTAGTTTTGATTGAATTTGAAAAGTTGGTTGGTTTCGTTATTTGGTGCATGCGGCGGACATATAACTAATGGAAAACAAATGTTGAGGGCACTTTAACATCAAATTCAAAAGAGATTACAAACTTTTTTTCATTTTGTCTCTCTCTATCGCCTTCTTGAAATAATATCCGAAGTGGCGAAAGAGAAAAATGATTTAGCATATAAATCTAGACAACATCTTTCGCGCTCACTGTCAAAGAAAACTAGATGTGTGTATTTGTGAGACGAACAATTGTGGGAAATCGTTTAGATTGGATGTCGTTAAAAAAAAATATTCACTTTGGCATTTCCATTTATAGTGGATTTCACTTAACAAAAGATATGGCTGAGAGAGACTTTGTTTATCATACGAAATTTATGGAAAACGGTTTTTATTTTATTCGTCGTTATTTTCGCCACAATAAGAAATGGAAACGATGTATTTATCGATAGAAGTAGAGATAAACACGCCAGACACACTGTTTAGAGCGAACAATTTTCTTTTAATCCAAAATCTAATCGTGCAAACGATTTGTGCAAACAGCCAAAAATAATAAGAAGGAAGAGGGAGAAAAAGAATTGAAGAAACATAGAAGAATAAAACGTTGTCTTGTTTACGTTCTCATCTCATACCTACGTTTTGATACCTCGTTCATGCGAGGTACGATATGTTTACCGAGAGAGGGGCCAACGATGTGAAGTCAAAGCAACATGCATGTCACAAAGCCTATCCAATATATGTGAAATGAGATGGAGAGCTTTCTGAATTATATTCTTAATTTGGCAGGCAACACATTGCCCATATTAACATTGTATGTGCCACAATAAAAGAAAGAACGTTTGATAAACAAAACAACACTTAGTTCACAGCACCGAACCAAGCATGTGTACTTAGATTATTATCTTGCTGCGTATTATTTACAAAGTCATTATCATATAGGTGATATCCACACTTAATCTCTAATACGATGAAGGAAAGACACAAAGAAAAACAGTGTTAAAACAAAGGTTGGTGTGTACGGCCAAACTTTATATAGACACACAACAATACGTAAACGTATATAGTCGCCAAGAAATTAGAAAACATGGCATAAAAACACCCGCTGATTGCCAGTAGCTATATCAATAATAATAACAACATCATACGCTCTCTCACATGCGTGTGGACATGAGCTTAGTAAGTAAGGCTTCCGTCTTAGATTTCGCCAGCAGCCAAAAGCTATTGCCCATATAATACACACATGTGTATTATCCTGTACTTTTTTTCCTTTTGAATAATAGACCCCCATATTTTCAATGGATTGCATGCGTGCAGATATTATTCCGAATCGCCAATTCGCACGACAATATATCTCGAATCGTATTTACTTTTATTTACTGTTGAAATTTGTTTTGTTTTTATTCGTTTTTCGTGTGTGTGTGTGTGTGTGTGTGAACGCAATTTTATTCGCTTTATTTTATTGTTCCATTTGCTGCATGCATGGTGGTTATTTTCATTTCGTGTTATATCATTTTATATTGTGTGTCCAAGTTTGC